CCCCGACCCGCAATCTAACGATTACGATCGGGTCCCGAGACCTCACCACTAGACTACCGACACCACTATTTATTATTTACTGTAGTCAGCTGCAAGGGTGCGCATTTACTTGACTGTCGCAGACGGTGTGAGCAGCGGCAGTGTGCCCAGTACCAGAGACTCTTAAATATATGAAATACTCTCTGCCAGTACACAGGACGCTCGCACGTTATTCGCTAGATCAGAATCACAAAGGTCTATCTGACATTTTTGGCCATTTTGAGTTACTAAGACCATGGGGGTCAGAAAGCAAAATGCTCTATCTGCTCTATCAAAATCATAAGAATGTTCCGGGTCCTTATCTTGATATTCAAAGAATTGATTTCGCAAAAGCTTGACACTTTGTGAAACTCCAAAAAACAAAAAGTCAGTGTTGAACGTCAAATTTTTCAAAACTAGCGGTACTGAGTATGCAGAACTTCGTAATTCTGAGGTAGCGTATTGGGAAAACGCTGCATCAAGTTCCTCCCCTGTTTTTGTGTTCTTTGTCGTGCCTAGCCGGGCGAATGAATGCCTATTTATACAGCTGCTGCTGCTGCTTCTTTGCATCATAATATATTTTGAACGTGCACAGTCTCGGGACCACACCAGAATACAAACCACACATGGTCCCAACCACACCAGTAAGTTATCTTAGTTTAGCTTTAGTACGAGTTTTACACTACCTACAACACAATTAGGTCACATCGGTCTAAGAGCCAAAGATTTAGAGGCGCTACTTAAAAGTTACATGGAAAGAAAATAAGGATGAGAGATAATAACGATAGATATTTGATTAGAAAGAAGAAGCAAACCACACCAGAGGGGTCACCCACCACCCCACAATCACACAAGAGGACACTCACAAATTTTGCTGTACGGTCATTTTGCTGGTGGGGGTCGGTCCTGTATTGTTGCCCCCCGTGGGCGTGGCGTAGGGGCTGGGCATGGACAACATCCCACCCCTAGTAGACTCCGCCTCCTCATGGTCGTCCTCGAGCAAAGAGTAGACAGTGTTAGGGGAGGCCATCACGGCGCGGCCTCTGGCCTTAGGCTCCGCCCACTCCAGCTGTCTTGATAGGCATCTGTAAATACAACAGAAACAAAAAAAAGCATGTCTTTAATTATTGTTCGAACAAAGAGAAACACATCGATCGACAAAATAAAGGTTGGTCAGTGCTGGGAAAAAGTAAGACAGACAGGCAGACAGAAACAACAAAGGGGAAGTAAAGAAGTATGGATACTACCCAAGTTCCGTTCTATTAGGATATTAAATGGTGGAGTTTATTTCATACAGATGTGTCTTTTTTTGTTTGTTGTTGTTGTTCGTTTCTTTTCCTTGAGATGGCGTCACTTTGATAGCAATCTGTCCTATTCCTACAGAACTAACGTGAACAAGAGCACCCCCCCCCCTTTTTTCCTTTTCCCCCTTCCCGGTAACACTGGGAGTTCGAACCAAGGTTATCATTTGCAGCGCAGCCCAGCATTATACCAACGGAGCTATTTGCGTGCCCAAAAGGACCACCAGGCAGAAATTAGCATAGTGGACAGCAAAAAAAAAAGTAATTAGAAAAGTGTGTTAAGCTCTCTCTGCTATCAAATTTTCACACCAAAAAGAGAGCTTTTTTGTCAAAGGAAGTGACAGAACGGCTTACTAATTGTAATTTTGTTGTTGTTTTGTTGTTGTTTTTGTTGGTGTTGTTTCAGGGGGTTTTCTTTTTGGTTGGTATTGTTTG